CTCATCTCGCTTTATTGGCCGAGGGAGTCGGCATACAGCTTCTGGGTCATGTGGCCAGCATGACTAAGCCGCTTCTGGTGAACCAGAGCAGCGTACAGAAATGCCATTTACCTTCCTGTCGGAGCGGTACCTATTTATCTACTTGCACTTTGACGTGCTTTCAAATTGCTAGGTTGGCAGGAGCAGGGACCGAGCAACGGGAGCTCACCCCCTCACGGGGATTCGAACCGCCGACCTTCTGATCGGCAAGTCCTAGGTTCTGTGATTTAACCCACAGCGCCATCCGCATCCCGTGGTGATTATTAGCATTACTATAAATAGCCAATATAACTGTGAGTCCCAACAGAACAGTTGCCATAACTGAGTTGGAGGGAGCAAAGCAAACCAGGTACCAGAAAAAGCCTAGAGACCAACTAAGACCAACCAGAGACGTGGGATAATGTCATGTCAATGTCATGGCTTACCCCAAGGAATCCTGGGAGCTGTAGTTTGTTAAATGGTGCTGAGAGCTGTTAGGAGAATCGTGTCCCCCCCAAAAAAAACCCCATTGTAGAGCGCAATGTTTGGCGCCGCTTTGGAGTGAATTGGACACCGTTGGGTTTTGTGACCCTGTGGGTTATGGTGCCAAGGGCTCATTTTACGGCCTACCGCGAAACGTGCAGATTGCACTGCCAAACGTTGCAGGGGGGGGGCATTTGCCAGTGTTTGAGTGAATTGGACCACGTTGGGATTTTGGCAAAACAGTGACCTCTCAAGTTAGGGCGCCAAGGGCTCATTTTTCAGTCTACTGTGAAATGTTGGGTTTGCACCGCCAAACCTTGCAGGGGTCCATTTGCCGGTGTTTGGCGCCGCTTTCAAGCGAATTGCTCTTTGCGAAACCATGACCATCTGCCTGCTTCACAGCCACTGAAGCAGGACAAGACTTTCTCTGGAACTAGGAGAAGACTCAGTTTGTGTTACCTAATGGGTTCTGGCTGGCTTCTATAAATATCCAGACTGCTGTCCGCACCCAGCACAGCTGGAGGACCAAAGCCAGAGGGGATTGCCGTTTTGGCAAACTGCCTTGGAAAGAAGTGAGGCAGCAAGACAAGATGCTGTGTGGTTAAACAACAGAACTGGAGTGCCTGGAGGCGGTTGGAGGCTGGATGGCAGCTAACAGATTGAGGTTGAATCCTGACAAGACAGAAGTACTGTTTTTGGGGGACAGGGGGCAGGCTGGTGTGGAGGATTCCCTGGTCCTGAATGGGGTAACTGTGCCTCTGAAGGACCAGGTGTGCAGCCTGGGAGTCATTTTGGACTCACAGATGTCCAAAGAGGTGCAGGTCAATTCTGTGTCCAGGGCAGCTGTCTACCAGCTTCATCTGGTACGCAGGCTGAGACCCTACCTGCCCATGGACTGTCTTGCCAGAGTGGTGCATGCTCTAGTTATCTCCCGCTTGGACTACTGCAGTGCGCTCTAGGTGGGGCTACCTTTGAAGGTGACCCATAAACTACAACTAATCCAGAATGCAGCAGCTAGACCGGTGACTGGGGCGGCTGCGAAGACCATATAACACCTGTCTTGAAAGACCCAAATTGGCTCCCAGTACGTTTCCGAGCACAATTCAAAGTGTTGGTGCTGACCTTTAAAGCCCTAAACGGCCTCGGCCCAGTACACCCAAAGGAGCGTCTCCACCCCCATCGTTCAATCAGGACACTGAGGTCCAGCTCCGAGGGCCTTCTGGCAGTTCCCTCCCTGTGAGAAGTGAAGCTACAGGGAACCAGGCAGAGGGCCTTCTCAGTAGTGGTGCCCACCCTATGGAACGCCCTCTCATCAGATGTCAAAGATATAAACAACTATCTGACGTTTAGAAGACATCTGAAGGAAGCCCTGTTTAGGGAAGTTTTTAATGACTGATGTTTTAATGTATTTTTAATCTTTTGTTGGAAGCCGCCCAGAGTGGCTGGGGAAACGCAGCAAGATGGGCAGGGTATAAATTATTATTATTATTATTATTATTATTATTATTATTATTATTATTATTATTACTGAAAGCTGTTTGGAAAGAAGAGGGCTGAAGGTTGAACTGTTTTAAAGTTTTAAAGGAAAAGGAAAGAGTAGTTGGCAAGTTAAAGAAAGAATTGACTATATTAAACTTTTGCATATTGGAGATGCAATGTTAACACAATCTAAGCGAGAAATACATATGATTAATGCTGAAATTAACTAATGAACTAACTAATGAATTCTAAAGTGATTTGGTGATAAAATTAATTAGAATTAGAATTGAATTGATATCTTAAAAATTAAATATCTGACTTGATTGAAGATCATTTGCATAATGCATTAGAACTTTATTTACAATGAATTATTCATATGAACTTTAATGAATTATAATTTAAACAGGTAACTAATTAATCAAATGGAATAAATATCTGATAAGTAATTCATCGGTAATAAAAAGAAAATTTATTCAGACCATTGGTGTGGATGGGGTGTCAAGATAATATAATTATTTAGAAAGCCTAAACCAGCTCAGCAGGGAACTTCTTGGGGCACTAAAACAGGACTGGCATTTGGTCAGAAAGCATACAGCAGACATGTCCAAAATACCTAAGTGTGGGGAGCAATCCTAAAAAAAGCTCAACGTTTGGGCAAAATCCTAAAAAAAAAGCTCAACAACTTCATCAAATCTGGCCCTCTTTGAAAAAAGTTTGGACACCACTGGCATACAGTAACAATTATGGGAAACGTTGTGGAAAATAAACATGAATTTTGCAGCAAGTTGTGAGATAAAAGAAAATATGATGAAAACAGCCCACGGATCATAATTAACACCCACCAGATTGGCGAAAATGTTTTTTTAAAAAACCCAAAAGGTGAATGTTGGAAATGGAATGAAATTGAGGGATCATTTATCCACATGTGGTTGTCCTGCAAAATAATTAAGGAATATCGGGAAACTATATATAATGAATTTTAAAAGATACTTAAATAGACTTTCCCCAAAACATCTGAGATTTTCCTCTTGGGGATGGTGACGACGGAGGTCGAAAAGAACCGCACAAGAGTTTATTACTATACCCCACCACCGCAGCTAGAACCTTATTGGTACAAAGGTGGAGAACAAGTCTAGTACCCACTAAGGAAGAATGGCAGTGTTAAAATGTTTGAAATATGCTGGTCTGACGAATAGGATAAGAGAAAACGAAGATGAGGAGGAATATGCAAGGAGGAATGGATAATGTTTATTGAATATATTAAGAACCAATATAGACAAATACACAGCTTAGCAGGTCTCGAAGAAATCCAGAGGAGTTGAAACACATAAGAGTGTTTAATAGATGACAAATTGGATTATTGAAAAGATGCAGATTACGCGCACTAGCAGAAAAGCAAAGGAACCAGGAAAAGGCTGGAAGGGAAGTCATACGGCATATGTAGACATCATGTCTACATATTAAACTTATATGCAGAATTAATCATGCGAAAGGTTGGGAATTCGAAACTGGAATTAAGATTGCCGGAGGAAATATCAACAACCTCAGATATGCAGATGACACAACCTTGATGGCAGAAAGTGAGGAGGAATTAAAGAACCTTTTAATGAGGGTGAAAGATGAGAGCGCAAAATATGGCGTGAAGCTCAACATCAAAAAAACGAAGATCATGGCCACTGGTCCCATCACCTCCTGGCAAATAGAAGGGGAAGAAATGGAGGCAGTGAGAGATTATACTTTCTTAGGCTCCATGATCACTGCAGCAGTCACGAAATAAAAAGACGCCTGTTTCTTGGGAGAAAAGCAATGACAAACCTAGACAGCATCTTAAAAAGCAGAGCCATGACCTTGCCAACAAAGGTCCGTATAGTTAAAGCTATGGTTTTCCCAGTAGTGATGTATGGAAGTGAGAGCTGGACCGAATAATTGATGCTTTTGAATTCTGGTGCTGGAGGAGACTCTTGAGAGTCCCATGGACTGCAAGAAGATCAAACCTCTCCATTCTGAAGGAAATCAGCCCTAAGTGCTCACTGGAAGGAGCTAAGGCTAAGGCTCCAATACTTTGGTCACCTCATGAAAAGAGAAGACTCCCTGGAAAAGACCCTGATGTTGGGAAAGATGGAGGGCACAAGGAGAAGGGGACAACAGAGGATGAGAAGGTTGGACAGTGTTATAGAAGCTACCAGCATGAGTTTGACCAAACTGCGGGAGGCAGTGGAAGACAGGAGTGCCTGGGGTCACGAAGAGTCGGACACGACTAAACGACTAAACAACAACATGCTGAACTGGCTGGTCTGATGAACAGGATAAGAGAAAACGAAGATGAGGAGGAATATACAAGGAGGAATGGATAATGTTTATTGAATATATTAAGAACCAATATAGTCAAATACATAGCTTAGCAGGTCTCGAAGAAATCCAGAAGAGTTGAAATAGATAAGTTTGGAATAGATGACAAATCCAGACGAGTTGAAACACATAAGAGTTTTTAATAGACGACAAATTGGATTATTGAAAAGATGCGGATTACAGGGACTAGCAGAAAAGCAAAGGAACCAGGAAAAGGCTGGAAGGGAAGTCATATGTAGACATCATATATTTGGCACGAAGTTGCAAATGGCACACGGGGAGGGGACTAAAGACGCTCTCTATTGAAAATGCAAATAAAATCAAATTAAAAGAAAGCATTGGGTAACAGCACGGAAGCCCCGCCTGCCAGCAAGGTCACGCAAACGCCGAGACGTCCGGTACCCATGCGCAGCCGACGGTCCTATATACAACCGTCTAAAAAAACCCATGCCGGGCTAGATCTTCCCTGTTAATTGCGCAGGAGCCTGGTCCTCACAAAGAGAGAGGAGAGGCGCGCTGCTCTTCAAGCCCCTTTTTTTCCCGCTCACTCCAAGCGCATCGCACGAATAGGCACTTCCGCCACTCGCTTCCCCGCACATGGCGGATGCCGCCCCATGGCAACCGGAAGGGGGGGCTGCGTCACGGGAGCGCGGAACTCTACGGGGTTTTTTTTTTGGCGGCGGTTTGATTCCTCCCAAGATGGCGGCGGCTTTTCCTCAGTCGCTCGGCTCTCGCCGCAGCCGCTCTGGCTGGGACGGGACGGCGGGAAGGAGAGCGGCGGCGGCGGCCGCTCCGGCCTTGGTGGCGTTGGCGGCCGCCGTCGCCGCCGTCGCCTCGGCTTCGCAGGACCCCGGCGCGGCGGGGCGGCCAGTGAGGGAGCTGAGCGGGTCCAACTGGAGCCTCCTGCTGCAGGGCCAGTGGATGGTCCAATTGTGAGTCGCGGCGGCGTCGCTTGCGGCGCTTGGGGGGGCTCTCGGACTACGACTCCCGTCGGCCCCTGCGCGAGCGCGGCCCTCCGAGGCTGCTGGGAGTTGTAGTCCAAAGCTTCCAGGAAGGGCGGGGCGGGGACACCACTAAGCAGGCTGCTCTCAGAATTGCTCAGGATCTCAGTGGAGGAAGCTGGACCCTGGTGGGTGGCAGTCGGTGGGTTTGGAGGCTCCCTCCCTCTGGCTCCTTTGGCCTTCAACGGCACATTTTTTAAAAAAATACTGATTAAATTTATACCTGGTGAAATGGGAGGGACCGCAGCAGGTCATCTAGTCCGGCCCGCTCCCCTCTGCCCTGCAGGGCTCTTAAGATGCTGGCCCTCATGTGATTCAAAACCATACTAGACCCTTCTTCTGGAGTTGATTCAGACTCTCTGATTGTCTTCTGCAATACAGTTAAGGTCATTTCCTTTTAGGTGGCGTGTGTGTGTGTGTGCGGGAGGCACAAAGGTTCATAGTTTTCTTGATTTGATGCTGGGGATTAAAAAAGAAAACTACGGAGTCCCGTCCCGACAAGTCAGCCTCGATAGCTCAGTGGGTTGGAGCGTGGTGCTAATAACGGCAAGGTTGCAGGTTCTGATCCCTGTATGGGATGGCTACGTATTCTTGCATTGCAGAGGGTTGGGCTAGATCGGACACGTCCAACTCCCAAGAGACTGCGATCTACTCCCAGTACTGTATAAAAAAACTGGCAGTGATCTACCCATTGTCACTGGAGGGAGGAGGAGTGTGTGTGGGGTCGGTGGGTGGATGGAAGGGGGGGATTTTGAGCTTTTTTGGGGGGGGAAGCCAACTATAGTCAGCAGCAAACTAAAACAGATTGTCCTATTGACGCTAGGTAGGGACAGAGTGAGGGGGTGGGGCTTTTAATCCCACGGTTGATTCACCACAATCGACCAAGATCACCTGTTGATTGCAGTCAACCGGTTGGACATCGCTGGGCTAGGTGATTCCTTTTCATCCCTTCCAGCTCTACAGTTCTAGGGTTCTAAGAGGTGTCCAACTTAGAATCATAGAATTGTAGAGTTGGAAGGGGGTCCTTTCCACTGCCGAACAGCGTTTACTGTCAGAAAATTATTCCTGATGTTGAATCGGAATCTCCGTTCTTGTAAATCCATGGGTTCAGGCCCTAGCTTCCAGAGCAGGAGAAAGCAAACTTGCTGCATCCTCTATGTGACAGCCCTTTAGATACTAGAAGATGGCTATCCTATCTCACCTCAGACTCCTCTTTTCAAGGGTAAACACAGGTAACTCCCTCAAATGTTCCTCACATCCTGCCCTTCCAGGGTTTTTTATGGTGCATTGTTGGTCTTGTTCTGTTTGCTGGTCACTGATTATCAGGCAACATCACTCTCACCTGGTGGGATGGCTTGTGTTTCTTACCTATGCTCCCATCTCAGGGCTGGCTCACTCAGGAGGCCAGGTGAGGTGGTGGCCTCAAGACAGTAGCATCCACAGGAACAGCAATTCCAAATTTCAATCTCACCATCCCGCCTGTATTCCTGATGTAAATCTTCACTCGCTCCTTCTTCCCTGTTGGGGAGGGTGCTCTTTTGTGGGGGATCGATTGCCACAGGTGCTCAATGTATTAGGCCGGTCCTGCCTATGAATCTTCATGGCATTTAGAGATGTGTATGCCCATGGCTTTTTTTAATTTTAGGGATGTCAAATCCCATCCATAGCTTCTTAAAGGTAAAGGTAAAGGGACCCCTGACTGTTAGGTCCAGTCACAGACGACTCTGGGGTTGCGGCGCTCATCTTGCTTTGTTGGCCGAGCGAGCCGGGGTACAGCTTCCGCGTCATGTGGCCAGCATGACTAAGCCGCTTTTGGCGAAACAGAGCAGCGCACGGAAACACCGTTTACCTTCCCACTGGAGCGGTACCTATTTATCTACTTGCACTTTGACGTGCTTTCAAACTGCTAGGTTGGCAGGAACTGGGACCGAGCAAGCAGGAGCTCACCCCGTCACGGGGATTCGAACTGCCGACCTTCTGAGCAGCAAGTCCTAAGCTCTGTGGTTTAGACCACAGCGCCACCCGCGACTCCCATAGCTTCTTAGCTACCTAATAATGCGGCACAGCTTTTCTCTTGCCTTGGTAGGCTGGTTGGAGGCGTATTGAAAAAGGAGACACCTTTTTAGGAATTTACAGAAGAGCCCCATTGGGTCGGGCCAGTGGTCCAACTAATCTAGCATCCCTGTTTCCCACTGTGACATCCAGTTGCTTATGGGAAACCCCTGGACATGAAAGAAACAGCACTCCCCCCCCCATATGCTCCCCAGTCATGAGTAGTCAAAGGCATATTCTGCCTCTGCTACTGTGAGTAGAAACCATTGATCTCCACATTCTCTATCTTTTTCTTTGCATTTAGGGTGTAACTGTATGTAGAGCTTCTGTAGTCATTCTGCCAACTTTGTAAAGTAAATAACTATATCTCTGTATTGCAGATTAGAGGTTAGACAGAGGAAGAAAGGAGGATCTGCAAATGGCCACTTACTTTATGAATTTAAGGCAGAGATTGCTGCTTTAAGAGATCTGTGCTATAACTGGTCATTGTGTACATCTGACTGGGACAGAGAAGGCTGTCTTAGTTTAGGCCATGCAGGCATAGATAACTTTTTAAAAATAAAAATAAAAAGAGAGCAATAGACAGCTTAAAAAATGTTTCAGCTGAACCATTTGCATACACATTTTCTAGAGGATGTTTCTTAACATGGCAGCTGGTAACTTGAGCACAGCTTCCTTTTGCACATTTTGGGCCTTCATAGGATAGAATCTAATTTGTATGGAAACTGCTGAAGTGTTGTAAAACCACTTGTCAGAAACTGGAAGACTGACAATCTGCTTACAGCTCCCGTTGATTTTTTGATTTTTTAAAAAAAAGATAAATTGAATAATAGCAATTCAAGAGAGGGATCTACTACAGTTTAAAAGCAAAAAAAATACTGTGTTAGAAGCTACACGTTCAAGAACTTAGCTGTTTTCTAGCAAAGAAATGACAACCACATCTGAAGAAATGTGTTTTATGAGTATAAAGAGGATATGGCCCCTTTGTGGTGTTCCTGCTTGGATCAGGATCTATGAACTGAATCTAGTTAGACTGCCCAGAGTTATATTTTTGCATAACAGTTTTTAAGGCACTGAAAGTGGCTGTAGTTTGGAATCCAAAGTTTGCTGCAGTTGTCCTCTAAATTTGTCTTTATTCCTAGATGGACAGTTCCTAGAAAGTGTGTGCAACACAAACGCTGGTATTAAATAGCAGTAAATCCTTTGGTAAACTTGAACTCATGTTAGTTTACTTTGTGCACAAAGAGGATATTGACAGGCATGTTCTTTAATTATTTATTTTATTATATTATAACAGAATAGTTGGCCTTAAGGGGACATTAACATTGGCCTCTGTCCAGCAGCATGTTATCCTGACTCTTTTCTGCATGGGTAGGGAGCTTCAGATGTTAGCAATTTTGGTGGGATATACACTGAAGAAGAGGAGGAGTTTGGAGGTGGGAACTGTCTAATTCAATGAATGTAAAGGAAGAATTGCAAAATGGTGATGTATTGGTGCAGCAGGGGGATAGCTTTGCTCATTAAAAATTTTCAGGGCGACATTAATATCCTTAAGCTGAAAGGTTAAAATTGGGAGCCCACTATTTATTCTCAAATTCTTTTTCAGTCAAAGGAATCTTTGGCATGCTCTTTGGCCGAAAGGTTTCTCAAAGATCAATAACAAAGACATTCTCAGCATTCAGGGTTACAGTCTAAAAGACATGAATTTGCCAGTTCAGTTTGCCTCCCACAATGCTACTCCTACCAAATCACTGTTGCTGCTGTTGATACACAATGGTAACTATGGTTGAAGGTCAACCCAGGCGAGACTGGAGCAATTCATAAGCGTGTGTTCTCACTCACACACTTTCTCAATAATTTGCTTCAAAGTAGAAACCCTCCTTGCTAGAGCTCACAGCAATGTATGTCTGCAGCAAAGCATGTTGCAGGTGTGTATGTGGATGCCACTGGCAATATTCTATACTCTGGCAATGTGTAGCTGAGAGCATGCATGCTCTCTCATACATTTATTTCCCAGGTCTTGTTTCACCTTACCCCACCAGCAGCCCATCATGTATTATCCAACTGCACATTATTGAGCATATGAGGATTTGGTTGTGCTCACGTCACCCAGCAACCCACTTGGCCCCAGATATGTGTTATATAAACATCAAACATTGAAAAACAAAATATCCTATACAAGCAACAAACAAACCAATAAATCAATGGAAACTACTACTACTACTAGTACTTCTACTAACAGTGTCTGAAATAAGTGTTGACATTTTGGGTCTGGAAGAGAGCCCAGGCTCTGGGTCATCACGGTGTCTAAAACTAGAAATAGTTGTCTTGGATGCCGATACAATGACCTAGAAATAAATTTTGCATCCTTTATTTCCTGGAAATTTCAAGAACTGCATGGGGAGTGTGTGCAGAGGAAGAAGGCAGAGAAAGTTATGTTTCTGTTTGTTTAGTTTAGCTTGCGTAGTTTGCTTACCATATACCTTTCTTCTGTCAAGACAAAGTGGCTTACATTAAAAGATAAAAATACACCAAAACAAGAATTTTAACTATCGTTCTGTTATGTACACTAGATTCAGCCGCAATGGAAACAATTAGAATACAGCAACTTAGCTTAAAAAATCCAATAGATAGCTTTTGATATGTGAGAGGCAGCTGCTAATAGTCTGAAGATCGGCAAATAGGGCTCCAAGTGTATATTCATCAAGAGGGAGATTTGCAGTCTTGCTGCCACCAATGAGATGGCCCTGTTCTTGTGCCTGCCTGCTGGATCTCGTTTTTTCAGGCTGGGGAACCTCTGGATGTTGTTAGACTCAATTCCCATCAGCCCCAGCCTGGCCAATGGTCAGTGATGACAGGAGATCTGGTCCAGCAACAGCTGGCCCCCCTTTGTGCCAGTCTTATATGAATGAGCTTAAAAGGCCAGCCAGGCCTTTATATATGAGCTTAAAAGGCCAGCCAGGTTCATATGGGAATATTTCTGAAGTGGCCTGCTCTAAAGCCATTAAAGGCAAACACCAGGGCTTTGAAACAGGCCAGGAAACAAATGAGAAATCCATGCAGGTGATACAAGACTGGAGTTGCTTGCTTTCTTGCTTCTAGTGTCAGGAAGCATTTTGTGCCAGGTGGAAGTTTTAGGACTACTTTTAAAGGCAGCAAACATGACAATAACCTACTCTGGAGTAATGTGGCAGAAATATACAGGCAGCTCCCAATTTACGCAGGGGTTATGTTCCAAAGCACTGTGCATTTAAGTGAGATCGCGTATATTTGAAACACCCCACTCCACCTCGTTTTGTGGCATTTTTGTGATGTTTTCGGGTCACTTCCGGGTTTGGTGTGATGTAGCACACACATTGGACGTGCCTAAATTGTTCTCTGCCCGTGACTGATATTCCTCAGGGAATTTCCCATTGGTGATACATTGCAGACTTTCCAGATATGGAAATGTGTGCGATCATTAAATCATGTTGTCATTTTCCTTAGCTATGCCCCTTGGTGTCCCGCTTGTCAGGAGATGGAATCGGCATGGGAGGCTTTTGCAGAAAACAGCAAAGACCATGAACTCAGCGTGGGCAAGGTGGATGTCACTCAAGAACCAGGTAAGCCAAAGTTATCTTTTTAGTGGGGATCTTTAATACAAATATATTTACATACTTGTTTTCAATGGAGTATTCCTTATGCATTGTTAATTTATGGAACTGAAAATCCAGCATTTCCAGTCAAAGACGTTAGTTCTTCAGTAGGTGTGGCAAACCTGTGGCTGCAGACATGGGTTCCCATCTGGCCTGGGAGGGTGTTTTCCCCAAACCACAGCTGGGGTTTTTTTGGTCATACATGGGGCAGATAGAATGAATGAATGAAACTTTATTTGTGTTAGCCACCGGCCATAGCAACAAAAGAACATTGCAATATACACAGAACAAAATAAAAAGTTGATTGTATAAATCACAGTTTAGGGTCCTGAATCAGCCATCAAATAGTGGACCTTATTCTGATTGCTCCAGCTAAAAACCTTGCAACCTTTGCTGTCGTCTGTTCCTCTTGATCTGCCAGGAGAAAGGACACTGTCGCAGTGGTTGGGCGACCCGGAATGGACAATAAGAGAGGGGTGATAATCTCATTCCTCAGGTCTTTGTAAAGAGTGCACTCCAGGAGGGCATGTGCCACTGATTTGGTACTGCCATCTCCGCGGGGACATAAGCATTTTTTGTGTGGCATCTGTTGGAATCGTCCCTCAAGTACAGCCGAGAGCAATACATTCAGTCATGCGAGGGTAAAACCGTGTCTATATTTGCCAACCTAGCAGTTCGAAAGCATGTCAAAGTGCAAGTAGATAAATAGGTATCGCTCCAGCGGGAAGGTAAACGGTGTTTCTGTGCGCTGCTCTGGTTCGCCAGAAGCGGCTTAGTCATGCTGGTCACATGATCCGGAAGCTGTACGCCGGCTCCCTCGGCCAGTAAAGCGAGATGAGCGCCACAACCCTAGAGTCGTCCGCGACTGGACCTAATGGTCAGGGGTCCCTTTACCTTTACAGATAGGGTGCCAGAGAGTCAAATTGGGAGGATGGAAAATGGCCACACCATGGGCTAAATTTCCTTATTGTGGCCCAGTTGTTCTGACGCTCAATATCATTTAGGCGTTGACAAATTAGACTGGGGCAGATAGAGATGCAACTGCAGATATACAATCATGAACCTTAAAGTGCACTCCTGAATGTGCAGTGGCAATTGATGTACGGAGAACTTTCGCAGTCTTAAATTCACCAGCGATGAATTGATAGGCTGCAACTTCAAGCCTTTCTTGACTTGGCTTTTCTTTTGCATCCATATTGCAAAGGACAAACTGGTCATCTGGCATCAAAGCAGTGTCATGATTGACAGGTGGGCAGGCCCCATCCAACTGTCCAAAGTGGCATGCTGCGGTTGGGGGAAGCAGCCAGGTCCCCAGCTCTTTACTATGGCATGCATTATTAACTAGACATATTTTAAGTCTGTACCGGAACATTGCTGCTATTGTGGGAATATGATAACTTAACTACAAGTTAACTTGAGCTTTTGGCTGGATGAGCTGGAACACGGTGTTCTTTGATGTATTCAATTTGCCCCAGATGGCAAGAGGTCTGGGAACCCTTTATGTAAATTTTCTACCCTTGACCTGAGTTGTGCTACTGCTCATCTGCTCACTTAAAGTTAGCAGTGCTTTTATGCATGCTAACTAGAGGATGTTCAGGGTTTTGCTGGAGGACATCTTAAAAGTTACCCATTAAAATGATTAAAATGAGGAAATAATTGAATCTGAAGAGTAGGAGTTGTCACCTAATTATAAGTGAGGCTTTGAGGCTTGGGCAAAAATATCAGTATGAATTTCAAGAGAAGCTAAAAGAGTTTTGATTAGCAAAAGTTCTTGCTGGGTGTGTGTGTCTTTTGCCTTAACCATACTTGCTGCTGCAGGTAGCTCACAAAAACACATACAGTGGTGCCTCGCAAGACGAAATTAATTCGTTCCGCAAGTTTTTTCTTCTTGCGAGTTTTTCGTCTTGCGAAGCACGGTTTCCCATAGGAATGCATTGAAAATCAATTAATGCATTCCTATGGAAACCGCTTGCCAGGCTGGCGGTGCGGAGAAGGGCTTTTCTCCCCACCGCAAGCCTTCAGGACAGGTACGGGAACAGAGGGGAAGGCGCGCAGCGCTTCTCCTCTGTTCCCGGGCTTGCAGTGGGAGGAGGGTTTTTCCTCCCCACCGCCAACATTCAGAACAGCCTTCCGAAGCCTGGCGGCGGGGCGGAGAGACCTCCTCCCCGCCGCAGGCTTCGGAGCATCCATCCGAAGCCTGGCGGGGGGCGGAGAGACCTCCGCCCTGCTGCCAGCCTTCGGAGGAGGTCCGAGGACAGTGGGGAAGACGCGCTGCGCTTCCCCGCTGTCCCGGAGATTTCCCTATGGGCTTTCGTCTTGTGAAGGAAGCCCATAGGGAAATTCGTTTTGCGAAGCGCCTCCAAAACGGAAAACCCTTTCGTCTAGCGGGTTTTCCGTCTTGTGAGGCGTTCGTCTTGCGGGGCACCACTGTACTGATAACATCTTTGCATTTAATTCAGTGATTGGTTATTCATGCTCCAACTTCACTTGTTGCTCCTCCCTGGGTGATGGTGATTAACATTTTCAGCCCATTTCACCACCGCATGTCACTAATGGCTATTAGTTTTTTGTTCTGTTTGTTTATGAGATTTGTTGTTCCTTTTGTTGTAGAGATAAAGCCAGGTGTGCAGTAGCTGCAGCTGTAGTTCCACCCCTCCTTTGGAAGGCAATTGCTGTCACTCAGTTTAATAGCAATCGGTGTGGCCTGCTTAAATCAGCCCATACAAATCTATCATATGCTGATTGACTCTAACCAGATTTTTTTTTAAATTTAAATTGATTTTTTAAAATAAAATGCTTTTGGAGGAAAAATCTTCCTAAAGGCAGTTTTCTATTTAAGTTGCATTATAGTCCGAAGGCTATCCATCAGGAATTAATTAATTAATTAATTAATTAATTAATTTGGTTTGTTATACGACTGTGTTTAGGAAAGCAAAATAATGTCCTGGAGGGAAACGACTGAAAATTCTTTTTTACTTCCTCAGGCGTAAGCGGTCGCTTCTTTGTTACGACACTCCCCACGATTTACCAGTAAGTATCTCATTTCATTTGTCTGAAAATGGCAACCATTTGCTATTGGAAGACAGTATCTGTCTGTGCCAGTTTTGGGGGGTTGGGATATTGTGAGGATAAGCAGAACAACAGAGGTAATGGAAAAACGTGGGCCAACTGTTGGTGTTCTGGAGAATGTAGCAACTGTCTCCTGGTTTGCCCTGTGGATGACGTTAAGGTCCATAAATGACAATACTTTGGAAGTCCCGAGCCCCAAGGAGGTTAGATTGGCCTCAACCAGGGCCAGGGCCTTTTCAGCTCTGGCCCCGGCCTGGTGGAACGCCCTACCGCAGGAGATCAGGGCCCTGTGGGATTTGACATCTTTCCGCAGGGCCTGCAAGGCGGAGCTATTCGGCCCAACCTTTGTAACCCCAGTCTAACCCCCCCCCATTATTTTTTTTATTGAACCCCTTATATGGGATTTTTAATATAAATTTTCCCTCGGCTCTTTTTGATGGCCCATGTAGGACCAGCATGGATAGTTGGCCCCGGTGAATATTTGATGTTTTCTCCCCTTACGGCTTTGATCTATAGGCTACCACTAAAATGAGGCTGCATTGTAAGCTGCATTTTAAACTGTATTCTAACTTACCGTATTTTTCGCTCTATAACACGCACCTGACCATAACACGCACATCGTTTTTAGAGGAGGAAAACAAGGGAAAAAATATTCTGAATGAAACAGTGGACGTATCATTTTTGTGCTTCATGCTGTGGCCACAGACATGTGATCTGATGGTGAATTTGGGGTGACCCAATGCAAAAATCCTGAGAATCCCTGTGGATCCATGCTTTGTAACCACGTTTTTGCACCATTGCAGCCCCAGACAACAGTGGGTGCGTGATTTTTTTTGGGGGGCAGGCTGTAGCCATGGACATGCTATGTCCTCTGATGGTGAATTTTGGCTGACCCAATGCAAAGATCCTGAGGATCCATGTGGACCCATACTTTTTAACCACGTTTTTGCACCATTGCAGCCCCAGGCAACAGTGGGTGCGTGATTTTTTGGGGGGGGGGACAGGCTGCAGCCATGGACATGCTATGTGCTCTGATGGTGAATTTTGGCTGACCCAATGCAAAGATCCTGAGGATCCATGTGGATCCATGCTTTGTAACCACGTTTTTGCACCATTGCAGCCCCAGGCAACAGTGGGTGCGTGATTTTTTTTTTTGGGGGGGGGAACAGGCTGTAGCCATGGACATGCTATGTGCTCTGATGGTGAATTTTGGCTGACCCAATGCAAAGATCCTGAGGATCCATGTGGATCCATGCTTTGTAACCACGTTTTTGCACCATTGCAGCCCCAGGCAACAATGGGTGTGTGATTTTGGGGGGGGCTGGCTGTAGCCATGGACATGCTGTGTGCTCTGATGGTGAATTTGGGGTGACCCAATGCAAAGATCCTGAGGATCCATGTGGATCCATGCTTTGTAACCACATTTTAAGTGGGGAGGGAAGGAAAAACACAGAAGGCTAAGAATGCAGGAGAGGGCTATAACGTGAGGAAAGGAAGGCAAAAGTTTCCCCCCACCCCCCCACCCACCCAAGCCAGCCAGCGTGCGCTCTCTCTCTCTCTCTCTCTCTCTCTCTCTCCCTCTCCCTCCCACCAGCATGACAGAAGAAAGCATTTTAACTGCATTAAGAACTATTTAGCAGCGAAACCTAAGCTTTGCCATCCCTTAAGAGGTACAGACACTGTAATCTTCCAGATCGCATGAATTTACAGGCAAAACACTGTTTAAGGATTTCATCCTTTTAAATGGAAGAAAGCATATTTGAATGCTGTGTGTCTCCAAAAACAAAAAGCAGGAAGTCAAATCAGAATTTTAAGCCGAACCTGTAATCTCTCTTCCCTTCACAAACATTGTTCCCTCCGGAGCAGGGAGAGGATAGAACGAAGGACGCTCTGCTCTCCTCTCTTCTTGCCTGGAGGGGAGGGGCTTTCCCTGCTCTTTGTTCCGTTTGAGCAAACACAGTAACGAAACAGAGCAGGGTGGGCAGTAAGACCCTGAGGCAGAATGCAGGAAAGCTGCCACTTCCTCTCTCACGGAGCTCCCTTCTCCCTGAAGCGCGGTTTGATTTTTGCCTCATTTTTCGGCTCCAGGGACCACACATTCGCTGCATAACACGCACAGACATTTCCCCTTCCTTTTTAGGAGAAAAAATCTGCGTGTTATAGAGCGAAAAATACGGTATATTTTAATCAACTGGTTTTTAAAAAAGGTTTTTACTGTATTTATATTCAGTGTTAGCTGCCTTGAGCCCAGTTTGGCCGGGGAGGGCGAGGTGTAAATAAAATTATTATTATTATTATTATTATTATTATTATTATTATTATTATTATTATTTATTTCCTCAGTGGAACTATAGCTGAGGCTCTGAGTGTGTTGGAATTAAAGGTTTTTCAGGTTCAAAGGTGCACTGTTCTCTCCATAGTTCCTGGCGCAGATAAAACAGGCATCCCTTTAAATAAAGTAACTAAGATGAGGCAACACTGGATGATGAGAACCACAAATGATTCTCTCTGCAGTAATTTATATTAACACTGCAGATGCAGCAACACAATAGTTCCTCCTCCTCCTTCTTCATTTATTATCTTTATTAAAGATTTATTAAATCTTTATTAAAGATTTTCATGAACTACAAAAGAACATGCAATGTCTCTCTCTCTCTCTCTCTCTTTATCAGATTATAAAGTCTTTTGGTTACTTTCAATGTAAGACAATATGATATCCAGAGGTAGGAGGAGAGAGTGGGTGATAAACTTGCACACTATTTTTTTTCTTTTCGTTTTTCCAACTTGCTATATGTGTGAGGTTTTTATGTCAGCATCATTTGGGTAGGTTTTCTTCTGTACGTTTGTTGGTTTACATGGGCAGTGAGAGGAGGTCCCAGGGTGTGGTTGTTGGCCTTTGATTGACTGCAGCGAGATTCGTTTCCATGTGTGGAAGGGGGGTAACAATACAGTGGTGCCCCGCAAGACGAATGCCTCGCAAGACGAAAAACTCGCAAGACGAAAGAGTTTTCTGTTTTTTGAGTCGTTCCGCAAGACGAATTTCCCTATGGGCTTGCTTCGCAAGATGAAACGTCTTGCGAGTTCTTGCGAGTTTGTTTCCTTTTTCTTAAAGCCGCTAAGCCGTTAATAGCCGCTAAGCCGCTAATAGCTGTGCTTCGCAAGACGAAAAAACCGCAAAACGAAGAGACTCGCGGAACGGATTAATTTCGTCTTGCGAGGCACCACTGTAGCTCCTTCTGTGTATTTTGGTTTTAGGTGCGGCGCCATAATTATACTATTACCTGTTTTTGTTTTCAGCGCAAAGGATGGAGTGTTTCGAAGATACCGTGGCTTGAGGACGCTGGAGGATTTAGAAACCTATATCCTGGAGAGAAAGTGGGAAGCTGTGGAACCTGTGGCTGGATGGAAGTCCCCCTCATCTATTACGTAATTGCGTTACAGCACCTTGTCTTGTTGAAATTGCATCTTTATATATTTTTGCAGGGGTGGGGGGAGTTGAAAACTAGCTTTAATTATTCTAGCTCAGGGGTCAGCAAACTTTTTCAGCAGGGGGCCGGTCCACTGTCCCTCAGATCTAGTAGGGGGGCAGGACTATATATTTTTTGGAGGGGGAATGAACAAATTCCTATGCTCCATAAATAACCCAGAGATGCATTTTAAATAAAAGGACACATTCTACTCATGTAAAAACATGCTGATTCCCAGACCGTCCACAGGCCGGATTTAGAAGGCGATTGGGCTGGATCCGGCCCCCAGGCCTTAGTTTGCCTACCCATGGTTTAAATCTGGGGTCAGCAATTTTTTTCAGCAGGGGGCTGGACTATATTTTGAAGGGGGGGGGGATTAATTCCTATGCTCCGCAAATAACCCAAAGATGCATTTTAAATAAAAGCACACATTCTGTTTATGTAAAAACACCAGGCAGGCCCCACAAATAACCCAGAGATGCATTTTAAATAAAAGGACACATTCTACTCATGTAAAAACACGCTGATTCCCAGACCGTCCGCTGGCCAGATTTAGAAGGCAATTTAGCCGGATCAGGCCCCCAGGGCCTAGTTTGCCCCCGGGCCCTACCTATGTTCTAGCTCCTTAACATTTAGGGTGACTTTCTGTGGTGTGTATTTCCCCACCCACTGGTAGGGAATGTGCAGCACTTGTGACATCTGAAAAGAGGTAATTGTTCTAGATGTCATGGAATGAGTGATTTGAACGTTCACTTGCTGTTTGGACAGTAGCCACGTGCTTGTAGCAACTAAGTGGATTAATATTATTTTTAATAAATTTATTCATTTGGTGAAAACCATAGCTTTAACTATACGGACCTTTGTTGGCAAGGTGATGTCTCTGCTTTTTAAGATGCTGTCTAGGTTTGCCATTGCTTTTCTCCCAAGAAAAGAAGATGAACCTGAGGGGCTCATCTTCCAGCGTCATAACTTGTATATACCTGTTGTTTTTGTCCATGGAGTTTTCTTGGCAGGGATACTGGAGTGGCTTGCCGGTTCCTGCTCCAGGTGGCTCACGTTTGGTCAAAACTCTCCACTATGACCTGTCCATCTTGGGTGCCCTGCTCGGCATAGTTCATAGCTTCTCTGAGTTATTCAAGCCCCTTCGCCACGGCAAGGCAGTGATCCATGAAGGGGACCTAGCTCTTATAATGGTCAAAACACATAATTTCTGTCGTTATCCCCTACTACACTGTTAAATTATGGTGTAGATGGTCAAAGACTAGTGCAGCTCAAGAAGGATGTGAAATTATTCAATATATGACATAGAACATGCAAGAATACTTAATTTGTCATGCTTTATCCATTGACATTGGTATAAACCAGATGGTTGTTCTTTTTTAGGATGCATGGAATGGCAGGACTCTTCCATTTATCTGCATGGATCAGGGTGAGTAAATGTTCCCCAATTAATTCTATATCATAAGTAGCTTGCACAATGCATTGTCAATGGCATTGTCATGAAACTAATGGTATAACCCCATACTTAATGCTAATGAAATGTGAGGTTAGCTCTGTATCCCGTGGAGAAGCCTTTATACTTTTCAGAACTCAGTTCATACACTGTTGGCTAATTTACTTTATTTCCACTTTATAGTAAATTTCAAAACGGTGGTGGGTTATTCATATCAAAACTTCTGTACTCTAGTAATTGAACACTAGCTGTTGGAATGGGAAATTTATGAGGCTATCACAAGCAGACCCTTGAAAAGGACTCTTATTTACCATATTGCATGCTTAAATTCTAGACACCAGTATATGGTGCCAGAGGCTTTTTTTAAAAAAAGCAAGGAGTACAATTTCCACTCTGATAATTACAGTGTGCAGTGACATTAACTAGTTTGTAGCTGGCTTTAATTTTTTACCAAACTGCATTTATTTATTTTCATAATTTATATCATGACCTTCAGTGTAAGTTTATGTTCCCAGGGAGGCTAACAGTGCTGTAAGAAACAATCATGGGGAGACCTGGCCAGTCCTGACATAGTTAGGTTTTAGGTGGAAATTAAAGGCATGCCTGTTTTTCCAGGCTCTTGGTAGATAATGTAGACAAGAATTTACTGCAGAGACTGTTGTTTATCTTTTGCTGTTTTAGCTGCTAGTTGAGTTGTTATTTTTAAAAATAATATTATTGCTGTATTACATTTTATCATGTTGCACTCTGAGAAAGGAAGACTGGAGTGTTGATGTTGTTGTTGATGACGATGCTGCAAAAAAAAGAAAGAAAATAAACCTTGCAAATTAACACAGCAGCTGTCCATCCAGATAGAGTAGCTTAGGTTTTATTATTTACCATACTTTTCCATGTATGACTAGGTTTTTTTTTTTACTAAAAAAAATAATGTTCAGAAGGAGGGGTAGTCTTATACATGGGGGCAATCTCCCCCCATTTTTTAAATTCTGAGTCCTCCAAAATAGGGAGCGCCTTATATATGGAGGCGTGTTATACATGGAAAAATACGGTAAGTTAAAAAATGTGGGTATAGCCAGTTATGTCAATCCATGAGTGGGGAAAAAATGCCTTTCCTCTCCTGTCCTCTCCTTCCAGCCCCGCCCTTGTAACCCCTCCACAGATTTGGGAGAATAAAGGGAAGTCTTGTTACACAAGTAGGTTTCAGCACAGGTTGTCTGCTAATGTGAGCCGTCCTTAAAGCCTGGGCAGCAGAGATGTGTTAAGTCTGTATGATAACAATAGTAAAATTTATATCTGAGCAGCATGGGCTTGGGCTGCATGGTTTTGCTAGACCTGCTAACTGTACTTCCACACACAATGTGTGTTTTACTGCATGTTGTTGTTGTTTAGTTGTTTAGTCGTGTCCGACTCTTCGTGACCCTGTGAATCAGAGCACGCCAGGCACTCCTGTCTTCCACTGCCTCCTGGGGTTTAAATTTAGAATTCTTTGTACTATTAAAGTTGTAACGAAAAACATGGTCATAATCCCCCCCCCCCCAAGCAGAAATGCTTGTTCAGATGACTTCATTGCGATAGCTGTTTTTGTGAAAGAAGTCTTGCCATCCATCCAAAACATAATATGGGAAATATCAGTAAATATGTATGGTTTCTATTCTTATCTGTGGAATGTAAACCATGTGACATTTTTAGACAGGCCCGAAGGCAAAATTGCATGGCATGAAATTATAATTATAATAAGTGCAGAGCTTGTCACTCCTTTCTGAGGTGATAGAGAAATCTATCATTACATCATTCTGGCCTGCCTACGGTCAGATTAATTTTCTGGCAAATTGTAACTGTGATGGCGCTTGCATGCAAATTCAGGGTTTAGATCAGCTTGTTTTCCAGTTGGTGTTGAACGGCTGGACCATAGTACAACAGGTGAGGTGTAAGGAAGCATTTTATCTATAAGCTGCACATTTGTATATTGAGTAAGATGATGAATACCAACACCAGCTGTATTAATACTATTCTGTTTCCTGGTGTCTGTGAGATAGCATTTTTGACCATTTAAACTGCTTTAAGTTAGAGGGAATGTAGAATTCTACAAATGTGTTCTGTAACCACATGAATTGCTACTTCAGATTGTTTCTTAGGATGGAGATGGTCAGCTTGATATTGACTGATATTAATTGTTAATGATGAATTGGGGGGGGGGGATGAGGTCCTCAGAGAAAAAATCAAAAAGCCTATCTAGGGAGACAAAAGACTAAAGACCCAGAAGAAAAAAGAATAGATTTGCATATAATCTGAGTCCCAATTTGTATTTCTGGTCTAAAAGAACTGGTTTTCTACTCTGTCTTCTGATGCAAAGTATATAGGCTTTTCATCACAGAAATGCCAAAATGACATTGCTTTGCAGTCATCCTAGCAAATATTAGTTTTCGATGGATGTTCAGACTGTGTGCAACTCATTTGAAACTGCTTCAGACTAGTAAGAATTTGTTTTCTCTTTTGGTTAGTGACTAAGGATTTTTTTGAAAGTAGACGATCAATTGATTTGTCTGAATGTCATGTCCGGTACTAAAATCCCACTTTTATTTTAAGCTGTTTGTTTGTCTCCTTTTATAGCAAATCCACAACTACTTAACAGTCACTCTTGGAATTCACGTTTGGGGTTCTTATGCAGTCTTCATATTGGCCACTTTATTGATTGGTCTAATCCTGGGCTTGGTAAGATTTTTATATATATATTATTAAACAGAATTGTAGGCAGTCTTTACTGTAGATAATATAGCAGTCACATCAGCCTGGAAGTTTGTAGTGGGCTTAGCCATTTCTGATTTTTCAGTGTTACGGTTCACCTTCCATCCTACCATTCAAATAAGAATTGTGGAAGATACATGAGGTCTAGAATACTGACACTTTACTAGAGAGGAAGAAGAGATCCTCAATACATTAGGGGAGTAAGAGAAAGGCAGATTCCAGAACAAGCGCAGATACAGGCTTGAGACAGTTTTGACGCACTTTTCCCATGAGCTGCAACCCTATAGTCGCCAGACCAGGCTTCCTCAACCTTGGCCCTCCCGATGTTTTGAGACTACAATTCCCATCATCCCTGACCACTGGTTCTGCTAGCTAGGGATCATGGGAGTTGTAGGCCAAAAACATCTGCAGGGCTGAGTTTGAGGAAGCCTGGGCTAGACTTAAACCGTCCAGGGGTCCTTTACCTTTTTACTTTACCTTTGCCTGCCATCTTCCATGAGGTTGAGGGCGAAGTTGGAAGGAGACAGCCTACTCTGCCTGTAGAAACTTTTTCTACACAATTTAGATCCCTGAACTCCTCAGGTTTCTCAACTGTGTGAGTAGTCTGCAGGAATTGATTTGTGAGTTGCACATTAGAATAAGTCATTCCACTTACTATGAATCATTTCTCCTTATTTCCTGTGGTCCTTGTCATATGTACCTGATTTAATGTTATGTTGCTTCATTCCTGTAAAACCCCCACTTTTCCTCTCTAGAGGATACCATAAAATGCTTTCACAAATGTTAATGTTCTTCTTCTGTTGCAGAAGTAAGGTGCATGAAGGCTAAAATTAGTAGAACTTTTGCATTTTTAATATGTGGGGATTTGGGTAAGCTTGGTTTGTATCTAATTTTTGCTGATGCACCTGGAGTTGTTAAAACCCAGCAAAAAAGGGAACAATTTAAGGGGAATGCTTTAGATCACCTCCCGTTGCATGCAAAAGGGTGGAGGTCATGTGAGCCTAGGGCTCATCATGGCTCATTCTTGTAACACCGGCAATTTGATGGAAGCTTGTTCAAACAGAGCATGCCAATCTGTATGCAGTTGAAAATGTCATGCTCATAAGGGCAAGCAACAGCACAGTATAATGTGCATAATTGTCAGTTGTGCTCATGGTTTCCCCCAGCAGCTGAATAAAATTAAATTAAAGGTAAAGAGACCCTTGGGACGCGGGTGGCGCTGTGGGTAAAAGCCTCAGCGCCTAGGGCTTGCCGATCGAAAGGTCGGCGGTTCGAATCCCCGCGGCGGGGTGCGCTCCCGTTGTTCGGTCCCAGCGCCTGCCAACCTAGCAGTTTGAAAGCACCCCCGGGTGCAAGTAGATAAATAGGGACCGCTTACTAGCGGGAGGGTAAACGGTGTTCCGTGTGCGGCTCTGGCTCACCAGAGCAGCGATGTCACGCTGGCCACGTGACCCGGAAGTGTCGCCGGACAGCACTGGCCCCCGGTCTCTTGAGTGAGATGGGCGCACAACCCTAGAGTCTGTCAAGACTGGCCCGTACGGGCAGGGGTACCTTTACCTTTTAAAGAGACCCTTGACCATTAGGTCCAGTCATGGCCGACTCTGGGGTTGCGGCACTCATCTCGCTTTATTGGCCGAGGGAGCCGGCGTACAGCATCCGGGTCATGTGGCCAGCATGACTAAGCCGCTTCTGGAGAAACCAGAGCAACGCACTGAAATGCCGTTTACCTTCCCGCCAGAGCAGTACCTATTTATCTGCTTGCACTTTGACGTGCTTTTGAACTGCTAGGTTGGCAGGAGCAGGGACCGAGCAACAGGAGCTCACCCCGTCGCGGGGATTCGAACCGCCAACCTTCTGATCAGCAAGTCCTAGGCTCTGTGGTTTAACTCACAGCGCCACCTGCATCCCTTATAAAATTAAATTACAAGTGTGCTAAAGATGCAGCCATTGCACCTCTGTGGATATGTAGCGCTGAGATAGAGGTGAATGGTAAAACTCCAACAACTTCTTAAAGAATAGCATTCAGACATGAAGAAACCTGGTTATGGCTGGAGAGCTTGTGGGTTGCCTTTGTAATACTTTTTCCTTTCCTTCAGATACTGGTTTTACTTACAGACTGCATTTTCCCACCTAAGTCCGAATTGGAAGATTCTGGTAAGTATGTAATAAAAAACTAAGCTCAGTGTACAATTTTGCGAGGCAAACTGCATCATTAATGAAAGGCAGATAACCTAAAATGTAATGTTTTCAGCTGTTCATGTAAAGTGATCAGATTTCTGTATACAAGTGTTAAAGGAGTTGACACGGCCAGTTTTTGATATGAAGGTTTGAATAGTACTTGAATTGTGGGATACCAGTTCATTATATTAAGCAAGTGACATTGGGCCTGTGAAGAGATGAGTCCTTTTCCAAATTGGTGCAATGTTTTTCAAGTTCTGTAAGCAGCATGAGAACAGCTATTGGGCTGGTGACACTGGAAATGTGTAATGGGTCTTCCTAACCAAGTATGAAGAAGTGTGTGCATTTATAAAAATAGAGTGGAGTTGAAGGTAAATAGTTTGCTTGGGCAATTGAGATATTCAGGATCTTTGGCACATTAATATTCTGCATTTAAAAAAGACATTATTGTAATGTCAACTGTGATCCATAAAGAATGATACCAAAGGAATGTATTGCCAAATAGGTTTGCTGAAGACTGCAGCCTCATTTTCAACTGGGGGGAAATACTGGATGGCTGGTAGAAGGGGAACAGGCAAAATCAGGGACTTAAAGCATTTCCACTCGCAAAGGAGGATGAATAACTTGCATTGAGCGTGTGAATGAGTATCTACGTTTGGGAGAGATATTAGGAGGGTAGTGGTTTGGCCCTTTTAGGTAATGCCAGGTTGCAAGGTGATGCAGTTAACATGTAATCCCATTAGCAAATACATGGCACATGTGGTCTGCTTCTTCACAGCAAGCATAAGAAGAATGACAGAATATAGGAGAGCCACCAGATGGAGGCTGTTGAAGATTTTAAGTTTAACAGCAGCTTTAACATAATGTATATTAGTGTTTTTTCCTCAATTCTTCCTGCCAACAGACTTGGTGGACCGCAGTGATGATAAAACAGAGGAGCAACAGGAGACAGTAGAGCATATAGCCGAAGAACCAGTTCCAGAAAAAGGTTTGTCTGATGGAGAAGATGAGGAAGATGAGTCTCAGGGAAACTCTTCGGAGGACTCTGCAGTTGAAGGATCCGAGACTGAAAATGACTCTGAGCACCATGCAGCTGACAAAGTGGAGCAAAGCTCTCTAAGGCAACGTAAAAACCAGGTGGAGGCTGATGGACTATAGTGCAATTAGCTGTGTATGTACTTTTATCTGGACCAAAGAAGCATTGGGGACCATCCTTGATTGCAGCTGACGCCAAACACTTGACCTGTAAACTGTTACAGCTAAATCCATGCTTTGTGTCGGAAGGCTGCTTGCTGTCATTGTCTTTAGGGCCAGTAATTTCTGGAAGATACATTTTTAATGTTCAGATAGAAGCCATGACAATCACGTAACTTTGATTTTGTACCAGATGCAGGGGTGGTGTCGATGAGAGGTGTTAACTTTTGGCTAGGATGCCATAGGCAAGGCACACTGTACACAGATACAATTTTTGTGTTTCAGTATTATGTGCTTACAGATTTTAGTTAATCTAAGGCATGCTTTGGTCTTTGTTGGCACAAGCTAGTCAGCCATGGAATTCGAAGCTTTCTGTAAAAACCCTATAGTTCCTCGTTAGATATAAGGCAGCTTCCATTATTATCAGTGAAGAATTAACTTTCATATACATGCAGTACACCATTATTTTTGAAGTGGTTGAATGCATAGATTGCATACAAGAACACATCGGAGGTGCTTACCATATTTTTCTGTGTATAAGACGAGGATTTTTTATTAAGAAATTATATTAAAAATTTGGGGTTGTCTTATTCATGGATAGTGCAGAGGGGGGATGGGCAATTGGTTGCAGTCGCGAGCAGGAGATTGTCAACAGCTATTGGGCAATTGATTTGTGGGCGTGTCAAGGGCTGTTGTCGATTGGCTACCCCTGCGTCAATTGGGCGGGCGATTGGCGGCTTTTGCGTCGCTTTTTGTTTTAATTGGTGTTGAGTTGGGTGAGCGTTTTTCGGCAACCCCACCCAAAAAACAAGTCTCGACAATCTCCCCCCATTTTCTTAATTTTGAGTCCCCCAAAACGGGGCATCTTATACACGGAAAAATACGGTACTTGCAGTTGCCTAGTATACATCTGCAACATGTAAACAGCACAGCTCCCAGTGCCACAAATAGTGTAAGTTTATAAACCTACAAATTTTATTTTGGATGTGCTGACTTGTCTAGAAAAAGCATTTTAAAACTATGCACTATTTTTTTCTTGTTGTTAGTGTATCAGGCTTCCATGTGGGTTGCCCAAACACTTGTCTGTAAGGTGAACTCGCTTCCTAGTTCTCTGACCATATATGAGGCTCTCCAGGTTACTCAATGTGACTTTGATCATGTTGATACCTAAAGTGCATTCCAGCGCAAGGAAGATGCAGAATTAGAAAACATTGCTTAGTTTAAAAGAATGGATGGTACCTGAAGTGACTTGCAGATGATCACTTATTCTTGATGACCAAAATACTCATTTGATTTAAAAAGGTTTAGATTGCAGCAACCGCTTAAACATAATGCTGAAAGAAACATCCTTAATGGTTTCAGTTGATTTATTTAATGAACAGCGGTTTGTTTCTAAGTGTTTAAGAATGTTTACTGACTTCATACATCCCATATATTGATCAGTGTAGTATAGCTGTGTAAATATAGCTTCAGTGTAGCCGTGACTGTTGTCACCCTACCTAAATGCTCTCTGCAATGCATTGGAGTGAATTAAGCTTACAGGGTGAAACAAAAGCAATTTAGTGGCAGCATAATTGGATGGCTAGGCTAAGAGAATAAGGAATGCAGAGCAGAGAATGAATGGCAGCTAATTGCTGGATACGATCAGCTGACATGGCAAGAGATCATTCTGTTACACCAAGGGTGGCTAACCTGTGGCTCTCAGGATATTGTTGGACTACAACTCCCATCTTACCTATAGGAGCTGATGGGAGTTGGACTCCAGGCAACATATGGAGGGCCACAGGTTAACTACCTCTCTAGTAACTAAGTGGTAGGTTTAAACTAACAGTAACAAGCATACATAGTGTCACAATGCCCATCCTGTGGCTCTTGCCAATAGAGCACCTTGAATTAAAGTCCTTCATTGCACTAAATCAGGAGCGGGGAACAGGTGGACCTCCTTGTTGTGTTGGTTAGACCAGAACTATTACCTGTAGCCAGCACAGCCTCAGGGATGATGAGATTTGCAGCCCAGCCCATCTTGAGTTCCAAAGGCCAACCATGTGTGTATTAAGCTATGGCATCTTCAGAAACCCTGTGCTGTGTCAGTTCAAAACATGCTGAGGTCAAAATTCTAGTTGCATCTTGACAGCATTGCTCAAATCCAAGTTGTCCTGAACATAAGCCAGATCGACTCAAGTGCATAAAACGCATTAAGTTTCAAAACTACTAGGTGCTGGGTAAATTGCTAGAATTGCTTTAATGTGCACATTTAACGTATAGCAAAAATACTGATAATCTGAGATGATGCGACCAGAAAAGCTTAACAGAACCAATTAAAATGATGTGTAATTGAGAAGCCTAAATTTAAACGTTTTGGGAATGTGCAAGTGCACTTTTCATGCAATTAAAGTAGCAAAAGAAATAACATGGTCACGCTTCTTGATTTGATTCTGAAACCATCCTAGCACAATGCCTTAGCCGTGTGGCTTATTTTTCAGGTACATGAGAAAAGGATTAAAGCATTAGAAGTTGACCTCTCCATGTTCCCATGAAAGACAGCTAGACCATAGCTAATTGATTGTTGTTGCATTGTTACAGGTAGAGTCTGTCATAATTACAATCTCAACTAATAATGTATGTGCAGCATTTTATTATTTAATAACATTTTCGTGTTTCGGAAGGTCACTTCATGCACATAATTTCTAAATAAGTGTAGTTTACCTAAAAACGCAAAGCAATACTGGCATTTTTTTGTTACGCTCTCTCAGGAGAAAGTACACCAAGCTTGCAATTCTAAGCATGTGTAATTGGAGGTAAACTCTGTTGAATTCAGTGAGACTTAGTTCCAAGTAAACTGGTTTGGAATTAAATTATCATGGTCTCTTAACAAGACAATCATCAATGCTGTACAGTGGTACCTTGGTTCTCAAACTTAATCCGTTCCGGAAGTCTGTCCCAAAACCCAAGCATTCCAAAACCAAGGCATGCTTTCCCATAGAAAGTAATGCAAAACAGATTAATCTGTTCCAGACTTTTAAAAGCAACCCCTAAAACAGCAATTTAACATGAATTTTGCTATCTAACGAGACCATTGATCCATAAAATGAAAGCAATAATCAATTTAAAAGGTAAAGGGACCCCTGACCATTAGGTCCAGTCATGACCGACTCTGGGGTTGCGCACTCATCTCGCTCTATAGGCCGAGGGAGCCGGCGTTTGTCCGCAGACAGCCTCCGGGTCATGTGGTCAGCATGGCTAAGCCGCTTCTGGCAAACCAGAGCAGCACACGGAAATGCCGTTTACCTTCCTACCGGAGCGGTACCTATTTATCTACTTGCACTTTGACATGCTTTTGAACTGCTAGGTTGGCAGGAGCAGGGACCGAACAATGGGAGCTCACCCCGTCACGGGGATTCGAACCGCCGACCTTCTGATCGGCAAGCCCTAGGCTCTGTGGTTTAACCCACAGCGCCACCTGCGTCCCTAATAATCAATGTACTGTACTATAGAATAAAAAAAGACAGCATTATAGATGATAAAAATTAAAATTAAGTTTTTTTCTTACCTGTACTGATGATAGTCATTGTTTGGATGGGGGGCTTTTATCCATTTCCGTAGTCAAACAGTCAATAAGTAGCTGAACTGGGTTCCACACAGTCACACAAAAAAATTAACCGAAAAAGCCTCAAAAACAAAAACACAAAATAAATAGCAAAAACAAAAGTGCCAGACTTAATCCGTTCTGGAAGTCCGTTTGACTTCTGAAATGTCCGAAAACCAAGGCACAGCTTCTGATTGGTGCCGGTGCCCCGGAAACAATAGCCGACAGCCGCATTGGATGTTTGGCTTCCGAAAAACATCCCAATACCGGAACACTTCGGGGGTTTTGGCGTTTGGGAACCAAGGCGTTTGAGAACCAAGGTACCACTTTATATTTGTCACTTCCATACTTAGGATTCATCCTCATGTTGCAGTATTAGATATGGAATTGGCACTTTAGAACTCTGTTGATCAGGTTTTCCAACTCTGCTGGTTTATCCTAGAAAGTTTGCTGTAGGGATGCAGATATGGGGTAGGGGATTTTATGGAGAATTGCTTAAGTTAGTTTAGGACACATTTATCCCAAAGGATGCTATTGAAGTACCCTTCAACATGTGCAAGAATGTGCTATTGAAGTACCCTTCAACATGTGCAAGAATGAAGTGTTGAAACTGATGGTCACATAAACTACTATGTATAAATAAATGCACTATGGTCCAAAGGGTTGCATCAGGCTTTTAACTTGCATGGATGCCAAGTTTTCAGTAAATAGAGGGATTAATTGGTATCGGGCCAAGCAAATGAATCTCAAGTTTAAAGCAAATCATTCTGAAGAAAGGCAATATTATTTTTGTGCTTCTGATTGTTTAGTCGAAACGGTTAGTTTAGTTTGACATGATTTTTATGCAAAAATATATATACTAAAAATGTTACTGTTTATTTCCTTACTCGCTATATAAAAATTATTTATTACATGTCCTGTGTCCTTGTAATTTAATGGTGTTAAAAACATCACATCATTTCTATATATTAATATTCCATCCTTCAGGTTCCCAGTTGATGCTGACCAAAATGTATTGTGATGTAGTTCTATTGATGAGAATGTCTTGATTTTTTTAACCACAATGTTGTTTTCCCTAGTAACTCTAAAACAATCTGCTCTACTTACAAAGCCTCAATTGCACACCTGAAGTGACTTTGTTTTCTTGTGCCCTGAAGATGCCACGTGGAAAACCTAGGACCAATATGTCTACACTGCAGACTTTGCTGTGTACCTTTAAATTGGTGCTACTGTTGAATATGCAATCTACCGTATTTTTTGCTCTATAAGACTCACTTTTCCCCTTCTAAAAAGTAAGGGGAAATGTGTGTGCGTCTTAGGAGCGAATGCAGGCTGCGCAGCTATCACAGAAGCCAGAACAGCAAGAGGGATTGCTGCTTTCACTGCGCAGCGATCCCTCTTGCTGTTCTAGCTTCTGAGATTCAGAATATTTTTTTTCTTGTTTTCCTCCTCCAAAAACTATCGTCTTGTGGTCTGGTGCGTCTTATAGAGCGAAAAATACGGTATTTTCTCTGTAGCTTTGAAGGTCAATGGAAATGGTTCTCTTTCAGTCATTTTGTGAAACAAAGGTGGGTGTGAAGGACTTGCTGTACTTCTCAGATTCAAAAGTTAAAGTTTATTGCAACAAGATTCTACTAGGGATGCACAGCACAAGCTCTTGAAGAGGGGAGCTGTGTTAAAGCTGAACTTGACTTAAAGGCACTTTCAAGATGGGGTTCCAGTCCCATGTGTACTAGATTGCAAATTTATTTATAAACTAGGTTCATTTTTCCTCCCGCTAACTTGCAGTGACCCGTTACATCCCTAACAAGAAAGGAAATTTAAATTTAGCATTTTGCAAAGTTGGTTACTATTTTCTCTCTTCCTGTGTTCTCTCCAAATACCACCTTGGCGTGCCTTAATTCTAAAAGTACTTTTGTTCTTGCTTTTTCTCTTTTTTGGCCTAGACTTCCTTTCAAAGGTCTTTTGTCTTATGTAGCCTCCTTGAGATGCCTGTAACTTTTTTTAGACTTGTATGTTCCTTTTATAAGCTGTGGTCTATCTGAGCCCTCATAGCAACTTTTACATAACCTCCAAGCATGCTTCTAGTTTCCCTGGTTGATACGCATTGGCACATATCCGAATTCAGTAAATGAGAAATAGATGCCAAAGTCCAAAGCAGTTGTCCAGAAATGTCAACAGGGGGCTTGTATTTTACTTGGGTTACTTAAAAATATATATACTGAGTTATCTGAGCTTTGCTTTAATTTAATGATTAACAGGCAGAAATGCAGAAACTTTAAATGATCCAAGTGCAACAAAAACTGAGTAACCTGCATCATGTCCGAAAAACCAATTTGCATTGCTGACTTTGAGGAACATGCTAAGAAATTTCTTCGAAAATCTGTGTATGACTACTATAAGTCTGGAGCTGATGATCAGCAGACCTTAGCTGAAAATGTATCTGCATTTTCAAGGTAAATAAATAAGTTTGCATGTAATTAAATGGGGCAATGGGGAATATGAAGCTCTGAAGCATGTCTGTAATGGAGTTAAGATGCAGTGACGGTGGACAGCTTGGTTGTCTACAGGAGTCATGCTTAACTGCTGCTGGAGCTTCTGGCTAAATAGTCTTAACTTTCCACTTTCACCGTGTCCATGTCTGGTGGGTACTGAGTTGGAGTAAGCAGTTCGGACAACCGCGCTGTGCCCCAAAGGCTGCTTTTTGAGTGACTGATAAGGGTGGGGTTATCTTGATACGCCTGTTCTCTCAACCCAACAATTTCCCCCTTCTTTTCTTCACCATGGAAAGAAGCAACAGCTTCATTGCACCCCTCTTTGTCTCCTTGATTGTTGAGATGAAGGGGTTTTGAAGAGAAATGGCCAACATAGGTGCATTATGCATGGAAGGAAAGAAGAATGTCTTCCTGAGGGAGGCTTGTATGCCTCTATTTCTTAACATACCTTTTTTTATTCATCCAAGCCTTTTAAATTACAGTCGTACCTTGGATCTCAAACGCCTTGGCTCCTGAACAAAATCAGCTCCTGAACAAAACCCGGAAGTGAATGTTCCGGTTTTCAAACTATTTTTGGAAGCCGAATGTCTGATGGGGCTTCCGTAGCTTCCTGAGGAATAAGGCCACCATTTGGGAGGGCTCACCCAACTGAGAAATAACTCCTTACATTTAACCGGGGTATTTGAGTTAGCTAGGCTATAAGCTTGGGCACGTGGTAATAATGGCATCTGACACTGCATGGTTTCCTTTTGGTGGCCCAGCATACTGGAGATGGGAAATTGCAATTTCTCCTGAAAGAATCCTTGCTTTTCTGCCTAGCAAGCAGGCTGTACTCTGCCCACTGAGAAAAGGATGGAAAGGGCAGGGCCCTACAATCGAGGCCCAATTGGTCTGTTGTATATTTTAATTTTTATTCTTATTTATTAAATTTGCATGTGGCCCTTCATCCATAGATCTCAGGGTGGCTCACAACCTAAAAATAAACGATAAAAACACAATGTTTTGAAAACTGCCATCACGTTACTTCAAAATAATGGCACAGCTGAAGTTCAGATTTTGCAAATGGCAAAACTTGGCTAGAAACCACATTAAGCTTTTATTTTCCACCATCTCTCTTGTAATATATAAAAATGGAATGAGCAAATCTCAAATACACAGAACTGTGAACCCTCAAATGACTTATGGTTGGAAACCTGCCTTCCTGTATTATCTAAACCCCTGAAGGTCAACTTGTCAGATGCTGTGTTATCCTCTTGTAACAGAAGAAAAATCATTTTGACACAATCTAGGTACTTATTTTCCTGGATGGAACCTAGGAATTAATCTCTGGCTACTTCTGATCACAACAGCTAAGTTCAGTGTTTTTTCTTGGTGCTGAATAACGTTTTCTGTTATGAAGGCTGTCACCCTGTGCCTGATCATATGCATGAACTAAGAAATATGTTAGCTGAAGAATGAGAACCAGTGGCTGAAAATAAACACATTGCATTCTAGAAGTCTATCCATGCTGTTTCCAATGACATGGATGCAGCAATAAGGATGTAAATGTAACATAAAAGTTAAGATGAATATTATCAAGTGGTCACAATCAGAAAACATTTTAAAGCATTGTACTACGATGCCATTCAGTCTGTGAGTCCACATTTGCCTTGAGAGAAAGGTCTTGCCCCTTGGACAAAGCCAAGTGCCACCAGAATGTTGGTGGACTCCAAATTCCCATCAATCTCAGTTTCCTTTACCCATGTCATGGGACGATGAGAGTGCTAGTTCAACGACATCCAGAGGACACCACATTGCCAACTCCTGAAAAATCACTTCGGCTGAGCTGGGAAAGCTATAGAACTGTTTCACCAAGGAAAATGTTCAACAGATTAGCTTATGGCATTTCCCTCCTACTGCAATGCGCTCTATGTGGGGCTACCTTTGAAGGTGACCCAGAAACTACAACTAATCCAGAATGCGACATCTTGACTGGTGACTGGGAGTGGCCACCGAGACCATATAACACCAGTCCTGAAAGACCTACATTGGCTCCCAGTACGTTTCCGAGCACAATTAAAAGTGTTGGTGCTGACCTTTAAAGCCCTAAACGGCCTCGGCCCAGTATACCTGAAGGAGCGTCTCCACCCCCATCGTTCAGCCTGGACACTGAGGTCCAGCGCTGAGGGCCTTCTGGCAGTTCCCTCCCTGCGAGAAGTGAAGTTACAGGGAACAGGCCTTCTCGGTAGTGGCGTTCCTCAGGGCATCCCATCAGATGTCAAGGAAATAAACAAATATCTGACTTTTAGAAGACATCTGAAGGCAGCCCTGTTTAGGGAAGTTTTTAATGTTTGATGTTTTATTGTGTTTTTAATATCCTGTTGGAAGCTGCCCCGAGTGGCTGGGGTATAAATAATAATAATAATGATGATGATGCTGCTGATTATTATTATTATTCAAGTACTTCCATGCACTGTAACATCACTTTGTAGAGCTCTACCGTTGTGGCATTTCTCAAAGCTCATCTTCTAGGTTTCAGTTAAAAGCCTGCGCTGGCATGCTTTCGAACTCCTAGGTTGGCAGGAGCTGGGACAGAGCAACGGGAGCTCACCCCGTCACAAGGATTTGAACCGCCAACCTTCTAATCTGCAGGCTCAGTGGTTTAGACCACAGCGCCACCCGCGTCCCCGTAAAAGCCTCTAATAAGGAAATAAAGATAAAGCATTATATGGACCAAGCTAATGATAGCTGAATCATAATTTTCAGTGCCCTGCTTCCTTCCACTGTGAGGGCCATTGTTGTCAAGGCCACAAAATAATATGAATGGGGTACTAAATAATCTTTGATCCGATATATAGTATGCTCACGGGCTGGCAAGATGGATTGCTATCTCTTCTGTGTCCTTTCATCCCCTGCCCCTGATCAGCAGTGAAGTTGATGAATATTTGGATGGGGAGGTGTGAGGGTTATGCATGCAATGCAGTAACTTTTTGCTTTGTTGATTGTCGTGGAATCAAGAGGCTATGGTCTCCCAGGGAGTCAGCAGTTAGGATTTCAGGCTGGTGGCTTAAGCCATGAGACAAATGGAGATGTGGCTGCTTCCCACTCTCTTTGGACTTGGTTGTCATAAAAGAATCCTCAAGATCTGCAGTGTGGATGATGGCCCCAGCGTTTCTGTAACAATTTGTGAACACGCTATTTTGAAATCTGCCCCCCGGCAAACAAGAGATAACCGAGCTGGCTTCACCCTCTCCAGGTTAGTGCTGGGGAACTAAAAAAAGATTGTCCTCCAATATTTCTGTTCTTGGCGGGTAAAGTTCTATCCCAAAGTCTCCTTCAGCCAGATCGTTTCTTCGAAAATAGATTTTATGGCAAGGTCATGACGCCTGTGGGCCTGATGACATTCAAGGAAATCAATTTGAAACCACATCTTTCAGCATTTTAAATTAGAGTGGGAGAAAATGATCAAACCTCTGATAATCAGTTCCGACACATTGCATCCCTGTCTTTCCCAAAGCCTTTGGACAATGAGCTGCCCTTCGCTGATAAATGTGGGACCAATGACAGCTTGTTTACCAGAGTTGTTCACGCAATGCGTGTCATTGCTTCCCTGAAGCTGAGTGCGAGGAAGGTCACCAAAATGAGACTTTGTCTCAAACATGGAGCGGAAGGAATGGGAGGCTAAGCAGAGTTCAAGGCTCCTAACAGACAATGATATAGACAACTGGTACATCGAGAATACATGGTTGAGCTGTTTACTAAAACATTTCTGAGGAACACAGAGATGCTAGTGGGGGCTTATCAACACACAATGCAACATGGTTTAATGACTTTCCCATTCTGAATGTTTGGACATAGGTTATTCCATTTCTCAGGAGTGGCTTTAAAGAGCACAACCTGGCCTATATTTATTGTGGCATCAGTCTACCTGTCTCAGTGCTTAAAGGTAAAGGGACCCCTGACCATTAGGTCCAGTCGTGGCCAACTCTGGAGTTGCGGCGCTCATCTCGCTTTATTGGCCGAGGGAGCCGGCGTACAGCTTCCAGGTCATGTGGCCAGCATGACTAAGCCACTTCTAGCGAACCAGAGCAGCGCATGGAAACACCATTTACCTTCTCACCGGAGCGATACCTATTTATCTACTTGCACTTTGACGTGCTTTCAAACTGCTAAGTTGGCAGGAGCAGGGACTGAGCAATGGGAGCTCACCCCATCGTGGGGATTCAAACCGCCTACCTTCGGATCAGCAAGCCCTAGGCTCTGTGGTTTAACCCACAGCGCCACCTGCGTCCCATGTCTCAGTGCTTATGCTTTATAAGAAGAACATCCAATTCCAGGGAATGCAATAGGTTGTTGGGACAGGTGAAACATGAGTGGTTCCTGGAGCTTGTGATGTTATTGAAATGCTTTCTGTAGTTAGCAACAGTTAAGTCTGCAGCCACTTTCACACCATACCAAGGTCTATGATACCACTTTAAGCGGTCATGACTCCCCCAAACAATTCTGGGAGCTGTAGTTTGTTAAGCTGTTAGGAGATGCCCGTTCCCTGCCCCCAGAGCTACAATTTTCAGAGTGGTTTAACAACCAGTTCCTCTTCACAGGGAACTGAAAATTGTAAGTGTGATGGGGAATGGGGCTCCGTAACAACTCTCAATGCCCTTAACAAACCCCAGAGGGAAGCCATGTGGTTTTAAAGTGGTACTGTAGCACCTTAAATGCATGGTGTGAATGTGGCCTTTGATTCCTTCAGCGATTGCACAGCCTCGGCGATGGCAAAAGTCCCAGCCCGAAACCCCTAATGCTTGACAATATGCCTGCATTGTAGGATGTAACTTGCTTTTTTGTAACTTCTTTACCTGCGAAAAGTTGAAAAGTGTGCGTTGACCCTGCCTCTTTACATTTCTAGAACTTGGAACTTGCCACCCAAATTATCTTCCCCTGGGTATCTTCACACCACCTGAAAGTTAAGGAAGAGCTATAGGGACAGAACTAGCTAAATTGTATAGAAATTTATTTATGTATGCTACTACAGGGGCAAGAATGCTACTTGCCCCAAAATGGAAAGATGCAGAAGTCCCGGCAAATGAAGAATGGATACAAAAACTTGTGGAATATGCAGAAATGGTGAATCTTATCAGAAGTATAAAAAATCAACATTAAAAAACTTTTTATAAGATAATGGAAATGGTTTATTGAATATTTACATATAAATTGCAAACATATGAAAACATTGGCAGGATTATTATAATAACCTGCAGTTTCAGAAGAGTTTATATTTGAACTAGATAATTACCGTATTTTTCGCTCTATAACACGCACCTGACCATAACACGCACATCGTTTTTAGAGGAGGAAAACAAGGGAAAAAACATTCTGAATGAAACAGTGGATGTATCATTTTTGTGCTTCATGCTGTGGCCACAGACATGTGATCTGATGGTGAATTTGGGGTGACCCAATGCAAAGATCCTGAGAATCCCTGTGGATCCATGCTTTGTAACCACATTTTTGCACCATTGCAGCCCCAGGCAACAGTGGGTGCGTGCTTTTTTTGGTGCAGGCTGTAGCCATGGACATGCTATGTGATCTGATGGTGAATTTGGGGTGACCCAATGCAAAGATCCTGAGGATCCATGTGTATCCATGCTTTTTAACCACGTTTTTGCACCATTGCAGCCCCAGGCAACAGTGGGTGCGTGATTTTTTTGGTGCAGGCTGTAGCCATGGACATGCTATGTGATCTGATGGTGAATTTGGGGTGACCCAATGCAAAGATCCTGAGAATCCCTGTGGATCCATGCTTTTTAACCACGTTTTGCACCATTGCAGCCCCAGGCAACAATGGGTGCGTGATTTTGGGGGGGCAGGCTGTAGCCATGGACATGCTATGTGATCTGATGGTGAATTTGGGGTGACCCAATGCAAAGATCCTGAGGATCCATGTTGATCTATGCTTTGTAACCACATTTTAAGTGGGGAGCGAAGGAAAAACAAAGAAGGGACATGAGAGGGGTGTGCAGAGAAGCAGCTGGCTAAGAATGCTGGAGAGGGATTTAACGGGTGGGAGGAAAGAAAGAAAGGCAAAAGTTCCCCCCCAAGCCAGCCATCTCTCTCTCTCTCTCTCTCTCTCTCTCTCTCTCTCTCTCTCCCTCCCTCCCTCCCTCCCTCCCCCCCTCTCCCTCCCCACCCCCTCTCTCTCTCCCTCCCCCCTCTCCCTCTCCCTCCCCCACTCTCTCTCCCTCTCCCCCAGCAGCACCGGAGCACAGAGAGGAATTAGAAAGAACGACACTCTGCTTGCCTGGAGGGGAGGGGCTTTCCCTGCTCTTTGTTCCGTTTCAGCAATCACAGCAACGAAACAGAGAAGGGGGGGCAGTAAGACCCTGAGGCAGAATGCAGGAAAGCAGCCACTTCCTCTTTTCAGGTTTCCCACGATTTGACTTTTGCCTGATTTTTTGGCTCCAGGGGCCACACAATCGCTCTATAACACGCACAGACATTTCCCCTTCCTTTTTAGGAGAAAAAATCTGCGTGTTATAGAGGGGAAAATACGGTAAATGAGCAAATTAAACGAATTTGGATATGCAGAAGATATTAAAAAATAAATTTAAGGAACTGCAGAAAGAGCGGGGAAGGAAGTCAAACTTTGAAATGTTAAAATGATTGTAAAATTAATGAAATGTATAAACTTGAAAAGTGTAAGTAAAAACTTTTTTAAAAAAAGAAAGTTAAGGAAGAGCTGGTTCCAGTCCGTACTGGTGGGAGCATTAAATGATAGCGTTTGCTCAGCAGTAAACAAAGACAAAAAGTGCAGTGCAAGCTCTGGAGTTTGATTCCCGTCTGTCTGATAAGTTGACTTCTCCATTTCCATCTGTGCTAGGTTAAGACTGTACCCTCGGATGCTGAGGAATGTGTCTGCTCTGGACCTGTCGACTTCCATCTTGGGCCAGAAACTCAGCATGCCAATATGTGTAGCAGCGACAGCCATGCAATGCATGGCTCATGCGGATGGAGAAATTGCAACCGCCAGAGGTATGTTGGAAAACCCAGCTGTGAATAATATAACCCAGGAAAGAGCTCAGAAATGTATCCTTCCTGGTTAAAGAAACCTTGGATGATTCCACTATTGAGCCCCATCAGCGAATGCCCTGTGCAAGGATTTCCATTTGTGTAGTGGGGCTTCCCTCCTCTTCCCCTGTGTGCTCCCCCATTCACCCTGAAAATGACTCCTGGGGAGTTGGGAGAACCCAACTCCAGTGCCTCTTATCAGAAGATGTATAAATAAATAAATAAACTTCCAGTGCCTCTTATCAGAAGATGTATAAATAAAGCTGCCAATAATAATAATTAATTATTCCGTATAGTAAAAGCCGTATAGTTTTCCCAGTAGTGAGTATGGAAGTGAAAGCTGGACTATAAAGAATGCTGATCGCCGAAGAATTGATGCTTTTGAATTATGGTGCTGGAGGAAACTCTTGAGAGTCTCATGGACTGCAAGAAGATCAAACCTCTCAATTCTGAAGGAAATCAGCCCTGAGTGCTCACTGGAAGGACAGATCCTGAAGCTGAGGCTCCAAGACTTTGGCCACCTCATGAGAAGACTCGACTCCCTGGAAAAGACCCTGATGTTGGGAAAGATGGAGGGCACAAGGAGAAGGGAATGACAGAGGACGAGATGGTTGGATAGTGTCCGCGAAGCTACCAGCATGAGTTTGACCAAACTGCGGGAGGCAGTGGAAGACAGAAGTGCCTGGTGTGCTCTGGTCCATGGGGTCACGAAAAGTCGGACACGACTAAACGACTAAACAACAACAATAATTAATAATAATTTATGACTGGGTTTCCCCAGCCACTCTGGGCAGCTCCCAATACTATATTAAAAACACCATAAAACATCTAACATTGAAAACTTTCCTAAACAGGGCTGCCTTCAGATGTCTTCTAAAAGCTGTGTAGTTCTTTCTCTACTTGACATCTGGTGGGAGGGCGTTCCACAGGGCGGGCGCTACTACCGAGAAGGCCCTCTGTCTGGTTCCCAGTAACCTCACTTCTCGCAATGAGGGAACCGCCAGAAGGCCCTCGGCGCTGGATCTCAGTGTCCAGGCTGAACGATGGGGGTGGAGACACTCCTTCAGGTATACTGGGCCGCGACCAAAATTGCTTCTCATTTAAGCAGAAACCCTGAGAAAATGAAACTTGAGGATTTTCTAGTTGCTCTATCCACAACCCTGAGCCAAAGCAACCAGAAAAATCAGTACCTTCAGGGCATATAAATAGCGCCAAGAGCAAGGCTTGAATGAGGCGTTAGTTTTCAATTAGAGGACTGCTACTATTCTTGCTTTTTAGCAGAGCGTCTAGCTTTGAACACAGATGGGATTGAAATGTGAAAAAACACACCCTTGGGAGTTTTATTGATTAAATCTGATGCCAAGGTGGTTGGTTTGTCCTGCACTGTCTCGGACCCTTCCCAAAATCACTTGTTTCTGGCAGAAGTGATCTGGGGTTTAAATGTGAACCTAGAATTAAAAGCTTCAGTTGATTGAACTAGTGTTTGTTTGTTTTTAATCGGAACAAAGCTTTCGCCACTTTGTGGCATCTCAAAACAATATCCTAATCATGGCTGACATCAGGTGTGAAGCAGGTAGAGATATGCCTGGCAATGCAGAGTTGGGAAACTGTAAAACACACTCCTGGCTCCATGATCACTGCAGATGGTGACAGCAGCCACGAAATTAAAAGACGCCTGCTTCTTGGGAGAAAAGTAATGACAAACCTAGACAGCATCTTAAAAAGCAGAGACATCACCTTGCCCACAAAGGTCCGTATAGTTAAAGCTATGGTTTTCCCAGTAGTGATGTATGGAAGTGAGAGCTGGACCATAAAGAAGGCTGATCGCCGATGAATTGATGCTTTTGAATTATGGTGCTGGAGGAGACTCTTGAGAGTCCCATGGACTGCAAGAAGATCAAACCTCTCCATTCTGAAGGAAATCAGCCCTGAGTGCTCACTGGAAGGACAGATCCTGAACTGAGACTCCAATACTTTGGCCACCTCGTGAGAAGAGAAGACTCCCTGGAAAAGACCCTGATGTTGGGAAAGATGGAGGACACAAGGAGAAGGGGACGACAGAGGACAAGATGATTGGACAGTGTTCTCGAAGCTTCTAACATGAGTTTGACCAAACTGCAGGAGGCAGTGGAAGACAGGCGTGCCTGGCGTGCTCTGGTCCATGGGATCACGAAGAGTCGGACACAACTAAACGACTAAACAACAACAAAACACACTCCTGATTGGCAGTGAAAGCAAGGCTCCCCTTTGCCAATGCACAATCAGCTGGCTGACAGTGAGAGAGAGCCTTCTGGCAAACCGGGAAGTGCCGTTGTCCCTTGCCCCAAACGGGGCACAAGGAATTCTGTTGAACTCACAGTCACCGCCATCAGCTGGCAGTTTGTAGCTTCAAGCTTAGCTTGACTTGGATTTTCTTCCCACGCTGCAAAGGAAAAGTTTGGTGACACCAGATGATTGACAGGAATAATAATAATAATAATAATAATAATAATAATAATAATAATAATAATAATAATAATTTTTTTATACCCCACCCATCTGGCTGGGCTTCCCCAGAAAAATATTAAAATACTGTAATACATCAAACATTAAAAGCTTCCCTAAACAGGGCTGCCTTCAGATGTCTTCTAAAAGTCTTGGTAGTTGTTTATTTCCTTGACATCTGATGGGAGGGCGCTCCACAGGGTGGGTGCCACAACCGAGAAGGCCCTCTGCCTGGTTCCCTGTAACTTGGCTTCTCTCAGTGAGGGAACCGCCAGAAGGCCCTCGGTGCTGGACCTCAGGGTCCGGGCAGAACGATGGGGGTGAAGACGCTCCTTCAGGTATACTGGACCGAGGCCGTTTAGGGCTTTAAAGGTCAGCACCAACACTTTGAATTGTGCTTGGAAACGTACTGGGAGCCAATGTAGGTCTTTCAAGACCGGTGTTATGTGGTCTCGGCGGCCGCCCCCAGTCACCAGTCTAGCTGCCGCATTCTGGATTAGTTGTAGTTTCTGGGTCACCTTCAAAGGTAGCCCCACGTAGAGTGCATTGCAGTAGTCCAAGCGGGAGATAACCAGAGCATGCACCACTCTGGCGAGACAGTCCGCAGGCAGATAGGGTCTCAGCCTGCGTACCAGATGGAGCTGGTAAACAGCTGCTCTGGACACAGAATCGACCTGCGCCTCCATGGACAGCTGTGAGTCCAAAATGACTCCCAGGCTGCGCACCTGGTCCTTCAGGGGCACAGTTACCCCATTCAGGGCCAGGGAATCCCCTACACCCGCCTGCCCCCTGTCCCCCCAAAACAGTATTTCTGTCTTGTCAAAGTCTACCCCTGGTCCTAGGAAGCTAGGACCAGGGGTAGACTTTGGTAATCTGTCATAATAAGGCACCCTGTGCGAGGCCAACATTTGGCACGCCCAAATGGGATCTTCTCAGTTATGGATCTACTCAGTTTTGTGCCCCTTGTGCAGGGGAACGACCTGCACCACCCTAAATCTGGCGCTGCGAGGACCACAGCCTCCTGTCAAAGTTGCCAGAGTTGGGGGAGAGAGTTGCCAGAGTTCCACACCTCCACCCTAATGAACCGCTCTGTGTTGTTTTGAGATGTTGGCTGTTGTCAAATTTGCCGAGAAATGAAGACAACACCATTCCAGTTCTAAAATTCATTGTTACGCTTTAAAACGCGGCATGCGAGTCCTTTACTTCTGATGGTTAGTATACAGTGATACCTCTGGTTAAGAACTTAATTCGTTCTGGAGGTCCATTCTTAACTTGAAACTGTTCTTAACCTGAAGAACCACTTTAGCTAATGGGGCCTCTTGCTGCTGCCGTGCCGCCGGAGCATGATTTCTGTTCTCATCCTGAAGCAAAGTTCTTAACCCGAGGTACTATTTCTGGGTTAGCGGAGTCTGTAACCTGAAGCATCTGTAACCTGAAGCATCTGTAACCCAAGGTACCACTGTATTAGAACTGGATTGCGTGGAGGCTAGCCTGCCGGATATTGTTGGACCACAGCTTCCATCAGTCCCACCCAGCAGGGCCAATGGTGTAGGGATGTCACACAGCTCTTGCCTGTCAAAGGAACTGCTTCCTCCAACCCAGAATGAATTGTTCACAATAACCATCCCCCTAATGCTTTTAAGTGACATTGAGGAGGGACAGGATATTTAAGTTTCTGTGACTGTGAGCATAGCATCATATTTAAAAGTTGTGTTTGTATGTGAGAAAGGTAATTTATAGTTCTCGTTTATTTTAAGGAAGGTGGTTGTGTTTAGTAGGGAAAAGCTTCTGAATTACTGTATTTTTCGCTCTATAAGATGCACCAGACCACAAGACGCACCTAGTTTTTGGAGGAGGAAAACAAGAAAAAAAATATTCTGAATCTCAGAAGCCAGAACAGCAAGAGGGATCGCTGCGCAGTGAAAGAAGCAATCCCTCTTGCTGTTCTGGCTTCTGGGATAGCTGCGCAGCCTGCATTCGCTCCATAACACACACACACACATTTCCCCTTACTTTTTAGGAGGGAAAAAGTGAGTCTTATAGAGCAAAAAATACAGTGTTTTTTAAAAAAAATCCTATGAAACAGGCATTTCATTCTTACACTGCCCATACATAGACCTGTGGACTTGGTCATCTGGTTACAGATGTTTGTTGGTTATGAAGAATTTGATGGGTTTCCCCATTCATTATTTTATTTAAGTCCTACCTGGAAGGAAACTTGGCAAAAGGCCTCGGTACCAGTGTGTCTGTCACTCTGAGTAGTGTGCTGTCAGTTTTGGCCTCAGTTTACATCTTACACATTCCCAAAGGTACTTGGGGATAATATTCTCTTAGCTTTCCCCACTTCACTTGACTGCTCACATCACAGGAATCTACTGACACAGAACATCCACTCCTTTTTGAGAGCAAGAAATTTCAAGTGCCTGACAAGCCAGCTCCCTCTAGTGGTCAACTTGGTTTGAGATGTTGCTTTCAAGTTG